GTAAGGAATTCTGTTGCATCTTCAGGGACAATGACGACGCCGGCGCCTCTTCCCATTCATTCAGTGCGCAGCAGCAGGACACCCTTCACTGGACGTTTCTTTGTTTATTCTCGCGACGTCATAGGTCAGCAGGTCCTGTCGCGGCTACTCAGCGGTGAAAACTGAAAGGACTGTTCAGCGTCGACGATTATCCTACAGGACGTTGCCGGATGTCGTTCGGAGACCGGAAAGCTTTCACCTCAGCTGCCAGTGCCAGGCACCACCGTGACCACACCGGAGCCAGTTTTGCGGCGAAAAATGTTGCTCCACTCGTCAGATCGCTGGTTGATCCGCGAGAGTTGCAAGCCGCACAGGGAAGAGAGAGCCGCAGAGGATCTCGATCCAGATGCAAGCACTAATGCGGTGGGGAATGATCCCAAGCTAGAGGTGGTCTTGCTGCTCTTGACTTGACTCTTCAGTACATTGTGATGTCACGACGAACGCGCTATTACCCAGGGCCGCACATTCGACAGCTGCAGATTATCTTCAACACCGAACTTTGGCTGAGAGCGGGAAGGCTTTCTTCTCAGCATGTGGTACCAACAACGCGGGTGTGTAAGCTCCAAAAGAATGTGCCACGTTGACGCGGTAGATGGCTTGTCGGGATCAACCGATTGCACTAAGTAGCCAACCCATGGGACTGCAGCCTGCAATAGGTAGGTGACGAGATGCTGAATGGTTGTGCTGAGTTGAGCTTCCCTCATGGTAACCTCCGACTGCAACTTCCAAGGTCAATACATGGTCCCTCGGGCATCCCCGTTGAATCACGATCGGGCTGCTGGAAACGGTGGGGCCTTGCGGCACCGAGCGAACGCGCATGTACTCGAGCTGCTAAGGTCAGCTGATCGCGACTCCAGTTTTGGCGGCGTCGAGGCGTCCAAGGAGGTTGAAGGTTCAAAACGGCGTTGGGTCCGACGAGTTACCGTGTGATTATTCACAGCAGGGACGAGCACTATAGAGCTAGTCGTCTTGGTGTAACTATTTATAAGTTGTCGGGAACATGGGTGTTGATCAACTGCTGTTGCGGACACAGGCCGTTCGTCGATTAAGAGTATGTCTAGGAGAGAAGGTGAGCTTGTGGCTTATGGCTTGAGATCGAAGGATGCTGAAAGCCGCTGAGATGAATATACGTGAATAGTCAAGAAGATTGAAGGATTCATTGAAGGTGAGGCCTCCTAGTCAAAAGCGGAGCACGCGTCTACCGTGCTGTACCGCCGCCCAACGTGGCTCACCGTTGCAGAACGGTGACTACCGTGGAGTTTCCCGTTGGTTTACCGCATACGGGGGTGAGCACCGTAATTTCCATCACAACTTTGGGTGCCGTGGCTCACCGTAGCCCACCGTTGCCCATCGTTATCTCTTGCACTTGGGGTTTTTGCCCACCATTGCAGCCCGTACCACACCGTATTGTAACGTAGAGAAAGTAATGTATCAATCAAATAACCAATTATTACACTATAAACGTTGTGCTACGTCTCAGAATGGTGGAACACGGTAGAAGCGACATTGCACCGTTCTACACCGTAGTTGCTGCGACAAACTCTGGGCCCTCGACGCCTCGGCCCCGTTGCCACGTACACCCCCTACACGACATCCTCTCCTAGACAGAGGCTCGCCCCGTCGGTATTGCCCCGGCTACCTGTATAGTAGACAGTGCTTGAGGAGATTGAAGAGTGCGTGCGTGCGTGCGAGGGCCGACGCGGGAAGATAGGTCGAGGATGCGTCGGGAGAGAGGGGTGTCGAGCTGGGGGCTTTAGTGCACTCGTGTGGTGAGTCGAGCGTCGGTACCTACTGAAAATGAGATTTGGTAGTGCGCGGACAGGATACGCGGGCATATGACAAACATACCACATCGACACAACTAAATGTCAATGACAAGGCCTTGTTAGTAACACGCAGAATAGAGAATAGTGAGCCTCTCACCGTGCGCGCTTCCTTGATATACATGCCCTGAGATATATTATGAAGGAATGCACAATTTACGAAAGACTCGGCAGACATACCACATAAACAATCCAACCGGCGTCTCCCCAGGCGTCGTCACCTCTCATGCTGTCAGCACTAAATACTCTGCCATGAGAAAATCAAACATCACTCCCTTAGTATGGAAAGGAAGTACATACTATCATGCATGCTGGGATGACTGACTCAGATTGAGAGTGTCTTGAGCTGAGAAAGCGGCACGATATGCCACCTCACCATCATCATCAAATGCGATGGAGTTCTTGACAATCAAGCGTACACCGAGCAATAACAGTCTGACATGTGTCTGCGCCGTGAGTTACTTGTTCCTCTGACAAAACGAGAAAATGCACATATCCGGGAGCATTCACGTTTTGAGCCTGAGCGTGAGCTTGAGGACAAAGGGATGGTGGTGGTGGGTAGCAACTTAGCAAGGGAGAAGATTTGTTGACGTTGTGATTGTGGCTGCGCAATGCGTAACTTGTGCGTCGACGCGTCTCCGTTCCTTGCGATAGTTATCGCAAAGACGCCTCAGCTGTTCTTAGATAATTCTCTCATGAATCCTCCATCCAATCCTGTGCGAGGTTTCTAATTCGCTGCTTGGAGCCCTGCTCAGTCCACCGACCGTTCGGGAGCTGGCCTGGTCTTGCTTTAATCTTAGATCTCCGCCAAATTTCCAAGGGCCTGAGGGTCTGCAACACGAAGGGTGCAGCTAGTGCAGCTTCGATGTTTGATGGGCGAAGAGTGAGATATTGGGGAGGGCGAGATGTTGAGAGAGCGATGGGGGGACACAAGAGTGGTGTCGGCGTTGAGAAGACCGGAACTAGCGGGACTGCTCATGGTGATGGTACTATAGTTGATATATTTGATACTGTTAATGTTTGTCGAGAGCCAGCCACCCGTATGTTCGAGTGCCAAGTGCGCAGAGTACACTGTAGTACATATTCATGAGAGTTTGAAGCGGAGAGAATATTCCACTGGTAACGTGGCGAGCTACGGTGCTCAACGCTGCGCCACGGCGACACAACGGTGATCCACGGTGAGCCAACGGTGAGCCACGTTTGGGTGACCGCCACTGTTGACTAGGGGTGAGGCCGGTGAGGCGTAAACCGATTTCAGGCTCAACCAGCGAATCAGTCACAGAAGAGCCCACAGACAACCAGCACTGCACGCGTCGTCGGTCACTGAACGACTGTTTCTGCAGATACTGTAAGCAGATTGTCATCAAGAGGGGCAAGAAAACAGTGGCTTTGGAGTGTCATCCACCAGCGCTCATCATTGACAAGGTTCTACGTTGGGTGGATGAGATGGTGGTGGAGAAAGTGAAGGAGTGCAACTAATAACTATACGTAGTGCGACTCGGCCAGCCATCAATGATGGCCGAGGAAGTCACCTGCCCCGAACGTCGCTCTCACTTCGACGGTCAACTTCGTTCTTGCTTCAACCCGGCCTTCTCGAGTTCAATCGCCATCCATATCCACCTGTGCAGACTTTCTGTATCATCGCTACTAATTCTCGGTGACAGAATTTGGGACTGGGAGCAGAACCGATCATGGAGGAAGGAACCAAAGCCAAGAAAACCATCTTCGTGGGCGGACTGACTGAGCAGGTAGACGAAGCAGCTATCATCGAGACTTTCCAGACCTTTGGTGCGTCCTATTCTCCGCCGTATCATTTCCAGGTCCTCACAAGCTTTCCACTCGCCCACAGGTGATATTCTAGAAGTCCAGCTCCCCTCCGCGCCCGAAACGCACCGCGACGCGCCCTTCAAGCATCGGGGATTCGCCTTCGTCACGTTTTCTTCGCCTGCAGACGCGCAGGATGCGATCGACAATATGGATATGAATGAGCTGCAGGGGAAGGTGCTGAAGGTGAACATTGCGAGACCGAATAAAACGATGGCTACGCCGACTGGGAGCAGAGCCAGTGAGTAACGATTCCGTGGAACTCCTCGTTCTCTAAAGTGGTCTCATACTGACGAATTTGCTTTCCCTTTTCTGTAGTCTGGGAGAACGAAGATTGGCTGAAGGCACATGTGAAGCCGTTGGCGGAGAGTGGTGGTACGTCTGTTGCCTTCTTCTCGTTTTGATGTATCCCTTATCAATTTTGCCCTCAGGCGCAGGAGGACGACCACGATCTGAAGAACCAGAGGATGGCGACGGAGATGCTGCGATGGACGAGGCTTGAGCCAAGTACTCAATGTTTGGCATGTAGCCCTAAGCCTTCCTTCTTCCACCACGCCGTCTTCTTCCACAGTCCCCGCTCTTGACGAAATCGATCTCGCATGACATTCGCCACGTACCCCTCGCGCCGGATGTTTCGCCATTGAATTCCGCGCCTCTCAAGTTTCGCGCATTGCCGACTCCTTGGCTGAATGAAGGGGGTGCTGATGGAGGTTGTGGTGGTACCGGGTAACTCTCGACAGAGGAACGCGTCGTTGTATCCTCGCCCTTCTCGTGGTTTGCGTGTCGAACCCCCCGCTCTCCGAGTATCGGATGGCTGTAGTCACGTAGACTCTCTTCGACGAATAACACGATTTGTTCTCATGCACAATGCTTGCCAGCGCCGGTCCTTTGGGGGTGTGCGCTTTCCTTCAGGCACAACACCTCGCCTTCACAGTAATATTTGAGAAGCTCAAGTGCGGTACGTTGTATTCTCGTAGGCTATGCCCTGGTTAATTCGTAATGCGCCCCATAAGAGCGCCGACCGTATTGTGTATCGTGGGTGGTCGAGAGAGAGTAAACGAGCTAACGCGTGGGTGACTGGAGTTAGTTGCAAATCACCCATCGGCGCGCTCCGAGCGAGCGGCTCAAATTTGAGAGGATATGATACGCACGGGAGTCGGATACTGTCACAGCATCTTTCAACTTACTTAGTACTATGTAGTAAGTGCTCACAGTGATTGTTCCAGTTCGATCAATCGGTAAGTACTGGTCAGCAGTGGTACTTGCAGAGCAAGGACAAAAAGTTTCAAGGATTGTTCTTTTGCAGGAAATAAGTGACGAGAGTGGGATTCGAACCCACGCCCCGAAAGACCAGATTTATAGATGCTCATCGAATGAGCTGGTCCTTAGTCTGGCGCCTTAGACCGCTCGGCCATCTCGCCTTGGAGACACTTGTCACGCGTTAGTGATCATTGTATCCATGTTGCGTTTCTCACTTCTAGATCTCGTAGTAACGTACTTCATTCAAGACATGGATGAACTTTGAAGAACAATGATTCTGAGCGTCTCACACTGTCGCAGTACCCCAGTGGCAGTCGGCATCCTTTGGATCTCACTCCTGGCACTGCTACTGGAAAGCAGTGGACACGCTTGACACGTGTGTCCCACACTGCGTTGACGCCGAGGCGTATGTGGCTCGTTGTGCCTTAGTCGCGATGCCCTCGGAGCATCGCATTTTCAATGATTTTGACAGTGGCGAGAATGCCTAATGAACGCCGATGGTCCAAAGATACATACCTTCCTTGAACCGTAACAGCCATCATCGCTCCCGCCGCTAATACTCCATTGTTTTCACCATCACCACTCCTAATCTCGAGCTTAAACACCTGCCTACCCAGAGTGTTACAAGAGGGAAACGCGCTTAATGCCAGCAGCATCTCCGTCCACAGCGCAGTCTACCCTGGGATCTGAAGCACACTTTATTGAACGGAACAATCCCCAATCCGTAACCTGTGGGATCGGGCAGTTTCTTCGCTACCTCGTGCGTACGGTCTTCCATCGCTTCTCTCGCTCAAGTACAGTGGATGCAGAGAGCGATGTGTATTCGATGGCTACACACTACTCAAGACCTGTCACCCCGCTCGCCTTTGAAGATTTATCTCGAGGTGGTTCATCCAACTCTTCGACTTCCCTCCGCGAGACTATGTTGCCGCTATCAATTCACGCGTCCAGTGCTAGTCACACCGCGATCCCATCAAACGACCGAAACCCCGCTTCCATACAGCCGATGCTCGCGCAGAGTTCTCCCCTAGAGGATTGGCAGCATCATAGCGTGTCACGTCCAGCTCGTCCCATATCCAAGCCTCGCACGCCTAAGGTCTTTCAAAGAGGGGGGTTGGGGAACTCGGAAGGCAGAGGACATCCTGCTTTTCGTTTGAGAACCAATAACGGCCGATCCGGAACCACGCACAAATCACCGCATGCGCAGAAGAGCAGAGCTGAACCAAACGCGCATGCAGAGCGTGAAGCTGCAGCAAGTGTTCAGGGCCTTCAGACAAGTGATTACAGCTTTGCTCGCATCAGTGTGTATTCTAGTTGCCATAAGTTGTGATTCACGCTCAATAGGTGATGAAAAGACGCAGGAGGCTCGATAGGCAGCTATAACACCAACATCGTCAGCAATGTGGTGAACAAAGGTGCGATAGATATCCGCCATCACCGCTATAGCGCACCTACTCAAATGATGACTGTAGTGTACCCAACAAAATTTGACACATTCATGGATCGCTTTTGGGGTCCAAGCGTCAGTCTTCAGCGACGCTCTGAACTTGTTCAATCTGAACAATCTGACACTTATTTTATCAAGCGTCCGGTTCTTGAAACCAGCGTGGTAGCTGAAGCGCGCCTGGAGAATCTACACAAGGCAGGATGCTTGTCCGGCACACGGGAGGACATTCTAGACTGCATTTTCTCGTGGATATTGGGCCTTCCTCAGCATCGTTCCAACATTCTGAAACCCATTCACGGGCGCCAATGCTTGTGCATAGTAGGTTACCCGGGTAGTGGGAAAACAACTATCGCGGTGACGCTAGCAGAACGTTTGCACTCCTTTCGAAGCAATGTACTTTGTGCAAACTACTTCCTGCAAAGAGGTGTCGAAGCAACGACTCGGTTGGACAGCATCATCCCCACCCTTGCAGACCAGCTATCTCGCCTTGGAAACATAGGGATGGCTATATCTCTTGACATCTCCACTGCTCTTTGGGGCAAGATGAACCCATCTTTTCCCCTTACCAAGTTCAGCCCCGAGCTGGCTGACAAGCTGCTTCTCATCCCGATCTATGAACAGGCAGCCCTGGGGACTACAGTTGTTCTCATCATTGATGGTCTTGACGAATCCGCCGATCCTGCCAAACTTGCCCGCGGATTAGCAACATTGTTGCCCCAGCTTCCTCCGAACATCCGACTTATCCTAACCAGTCGACCGGATCACTACATTCTTTCCAACTTTGGATACCAGAGAATACACGAAATCGCCATCGAATTGAAGACAGACCAGTCCTACGTTGACGTCCATCATTACATCACCACCCTCTTCCGTGAGGAGATTGGGAAAATGTTCTCCGGGCAAGAAGAATGGATAAATTGGCCATTGGTGGCCCAAATTCTCACCTTGGCAGAGCAAGCGTCAGGGCTTTTTGTCTGGGCTTCCACTGCTGTAGGTTTCATTGTTGCCTGGGTTCGTTCGATGGGGATGATGCACAGAGATGTAATCATCGAGCAAATCAATCGGCTAGGGAGAGGTCTTGAAGACCTTGGGCAACTCTATTATTACATCCTTGACACGGCGGTTGACTTGAGGATTCTCAGTCATACCGAGGAGACCAAACATCTCGCTAACATCCGCACCCTCCTTGGTTTTCTAGTGATCAATGTGGAACGTCCACTTGACTTGGAAAGCACTGAAGCCTTCCTTTCATCCAACCAACACCCGCTCGACATTCACCGATGCCTTCAGCTATTCCGAAGTGTTCTCATTCCTGGAGCGGGAATAATCTTACCACAAACGGTGCCCCAGATGCACAAGACCTTCTATGAATTCTTGATCTCTGAGCGTGCTGGGAGGTTTCAAGTCGACCCTCCATATGCTCGCCTGCAGCTATTTGTGCGATGCATGGAAATCCTGCTAGATAAGAGCTCATGGCCATCCCCGCAATCAAAGCCCAAAGGTGGGTGACATTTCATTTTGCTTGTTGACAACGAGAGCATTGAATAATCGACGACTCCGCTCCAGTTCAATCATCAGACTCCGCATTCATGCACGCGTGCAAATCATGGGGTGTCTATGGTGGAAATATACCGCCAGACGTATGGCATACTGCAACGCTCCCTCCAGGTCCCGCGGCCACAGAACTTCTACGTTTGTTTCTCTCGAATCATTTCATGCCCTGGCTGGAATATTTAAGACTCACCCGCGAGATGGACATCGTCGAAGACGCTTTGGAGGCCTTTTGTAACCCACCAAACGTGGGCCTAATACAGCGTTCCTGGGTAAATCAAGAGGCTGGTGTAGAACTAGGAGTTGGCTAACGAGCGCTAAGTGCCTCGTTCAGGAACGTCGAGGGCGGCACACAATGCAACTCAGACGCGCCATTGCCCGTAGTTTTCCCGAGTATAAGTAGGTAGCTATACGGCACCGGTACTTACTATAGATCTTATATGTACATGCCACTAATCCATGACCAGTCCAGACCACAAAAAACTTTTGAACTGCTGACCAACGCCGAAACTTGCTTGTTCTCATCTTCCAAAGTCAGCCTCGCTGATTGTTACTAAGACGTCCCAAGGTCCAATCCCCACATACTCGGGAAAGCTAAACCACGCCTGTTCCTGAAACACCCTCAATCTCTTCGTCACCTTGCCACGACAGTGCTTGCATAGTACGCCCTTGACCGAGGACCTATCGAAGCATCTATCCCGCATCTCAGGCCATAGGTACTTAGGCCCAAAAAAGGGATCGTTGCCTCTGCGCATGGTTTCGAACGCAAAGGCGTTTTCCGTCTTGATTGTGACCATCCTGCTGCCGACGGTGAGGAACGCACCGGAGGTATCCGATCAGTCCTGCGGAGTAGAGCATAGTTCGTGTCGAGGGAAGAGCGTGTATTATGGGAGAGCAGCTGTCATCTTGCTGAGGGCGAAGTGCGCCTTGATAACGCTGGAGCGGATCGATTCGGTAAAGAACCACGGCTTGCTGCCGGATGCTTTCCAATCCTTGAGTACGGGCGGGTCCGCACGAATGTCGGCTTGTTAGAGCTGGGAAAGCTGCGAGTCGAGAGCACAGTGAAGTAGAGAAGGAGGAAGACGAACGGGACAGTTGACCGCCTCGAGCGTGTGGAGCATCAGGAACTTCTGGTATACCTCCTCTTCGTCGAGTAAGTCTCCCTCTTCGTCGATGTAGGAAGGGTGAAAGACAACCTGGTATTCTTTCAGCGTCAAAGGAGAAAGCTTGTGAAGCTCGGACAAAGTCTGCTTGCAAAGAAAATCGACTCGATACTTCGTGCTGAGTCGTAGGATCGCTGTGAGAGCAAGAAACCAGCGCCATTCCTTCGATGTGGGCAAGCGGCTGCAAACCATACGGTAATAAAGGCGCATACAACGCCAGTGAACGCGCATCGCACATGTTATAAAGCACCTCCAAAAATTCCTGCAGATCCCGCGGATTATCTTGCACTACGATTTGCAGATGTCCTTGGAAGGTGTCCTGCTTCGGCGTTGCTCTCAGCTGCGATGAACTGTCCCGATCCTCCAACCGGGCAAGCACGACGTCCTCCATTTCCTGCTTTGTCGCCTCGAGCAGCTTTCTAAGAGCCTGAGAGCTCTTGTAGAGAATATTACAAGACGCGAAGAAGACCGATTCTGGAAGACCTGGATCTTTGCGAGCAGCCGTGCGAAGTGCGATGAGTTTGTCGGTGGCAGGCCACGCGTATGTAGACTTTAGTAACGCCGTCTCGGTTGACAAAAGTCTGGATCTGTTGCTTGGAGATCTTGTGCGCGGGTTGCTTAGAGGCGTCTCCTGCGTCGCGGGTGAGTTTGACAGGCATGAAGCTAGTAGAAAGCAGTTGGAGTATCTGAAGATGGTGGTTGGAAGAAGACTACGTCGCGGTAACGTGATGATCTCACCCAAAGTTCTGCCCTCTACTCTACACTGCAAACTTGGATTAGCACCCAAGAAAAGCTTTGAGATAGTTACAGTGCATTTTCTGTAAGATATACCTCAGTTACACTTCAGAAAATACATTACTGTGTCGCCTAGACTGACACAGCTCCCAAGTCGCACGCGTGTACGTGGGGTGGGTTACGTGTGATGGGGCTAGAGCCCTGCCAACGAGGGACATCATCCCACAGAGTCGAAGCGGAGTACCAAGTATCAGCTCCGAGGAGG